AGTGTTCGCGGCGTCAGCCTGCAACTGGGGCTGCCACCGCATACAGTGGTTGACCTATATACTGAAGAAGGAGACACGATCGCTGGTACAAGAGCATTATTAGCCTGGCGTTTCGGATTCCTGCTCGAACCCATCATCAGAGACAAGCAAGCAGATACGGGTGGTTCATGCACCAGGGGCTACAGTATTTATAGGATGCAGTACCCATGCTACCGCACACCTATGAATATTCACGGCTCCCCCCTTCATTAGGGATTGTCGCACGTGGTGCGTTGGCCGACATTCGCGTCGTTAATTGCTGCAGTTTCATCACGTGCGTTAGATGTTGGTGTGATGATTGCTCGACCATCTGACGCGCTGACCCTGGTGTTGGGAAAAGTGTTCACCTGTGCGCCCCCCGCGTGGGCAATTACTCCGCCTAGACGAAGTCTCAGCACGGTGTTTTGAATGGGAAGATCATTGCACTTATTAATAGACTGGGGACCAGTAAACCATGATTCAAGTAGCTCCCGGCTCACGCGGTTGTCACCTGTCGCGAGGATTTTGGCCTCGTCGAATTTGAATGTGTGGCCGGATCGCGTCGAATAAGCCGTAGCTTGAGAGCTGGCGTCATTTACCCGCACCGCCACAGCGTGTTCGGGCATTCGCGTTCGGAGCTGTTCTCCGCTTTCGCCGAAGTAATTGGCTTGTCCGCAACTGCACCAGATCCGATAAATGACTCCTGACGTTTCCAGCCGTGGCAGTGGGTATTTCAGTTTTATTACCAGACGCCTGATGGTTGCCTCCGGTCTGTGTGGAACTCCAACCCCAGGTGGTGCTAGAAGGCGGCTGACGGCTTCCCAAACGTTCTTGACATATGGAAGCGTTCATGCGGTTAGGTCTTTCGTCCCATTTGCGTATGCACCGGTTTACGAAGTTTCGCGGGTGGTCATTGGCTTTGAGACCCGGCGGAGGTATTGTAGTTCGGGGGGATTCGTGAATGTTCATACGTATGTGGTAGCATGGCGACTGCATCCTATAAATACTGTAGCCCCTTGCGCGTGAATCATCCGTATCCGCTCTTGTCTCTGATGATGCGTTCGAGCAGAAATCCGAAATGTCAGGCTAATAAAGCTCTTGTCCCAGCGACCGTGTCTCCTTCAAGACTACTTCCTGGGACTCGTCTCTTCGCTTCTGTTGACCTATCTACTGCCGTCTGCGCGCGCCACGTGCACGACCTGCCCCCCATCCAAACACACACACACCGGTATTTGGCACAACAGGCCATGAGCAGCGTACGCCTCACATGCTTGAGAGGGCCGGAGGTCACGTTAAGAAGGAGCTTATAAGGTATGCAAAATGATCCACTTCCATGGCAAATTTTATGAGCCCTATAACGTATAGCAATATATGATTTGCCTTAGAGGAAAAGTATACAGCCTGCAGCAAGTGTAACGGCAGATCGGGTTCAGAACTCATTCGAGAATTGGAAGGGCCTTTTTAAGTCCGAAGGCGGCTATTTCTCCGAGCATAAAATCCGACAGAAGACGTGATTTGCTACCAAATCAAAAACACAAAAGAATATTTTTGGGTGCGTCTTCTGTAAAAATATTTGAATTATAAGGAGAAAATGTTGCATGTTAGTTTATGTTACAAATTATCCTAAATAGTCTTTTTGAAGCGAAATCTGGTACAGGAAATGAAGTTCGATATAGTGCGCTTTGCAGATGATCTTAAGCTCTAGTGAGAGACTCTCAGATCTTGCAACAGGACGTAGAAGACCAGCAGGTGTGGGGCGAGATCTGGTGCATGGAATTCAATGTCAACAAATGTTTGGTTTTGTATATAATGTCAACAAGGCGCAGAAATACACCCTCATGACTGTATCTGTTGGAAAACTTGCCACTTCAAATTGTAAATGTGAAGGAATCCCCTGGAGTATCCGTCAAGGACGATTTGTTTGTAACAGAGCAGTTCTCAAAAGTCGGCGTGCGAGCAACATCAACTATGTGTGCGTTATGCAGAACGTTTGCCAAATTGGATATGCGGATATCGCCGGTAAGTTATGTGGAGCATTAGTGCGGCATCGCCCGGGCTTACCGGCCGTGGCTTCGGAAATACGTAAGTATTCTTGAAAGTGCACAACTGCAGACTACAAAGGAGTTCCTTGAACTCATAACTTTGACGAACGAGGAACGCTTGACCGTCTTAAGCCTCTACCACCTCCTCTATAGACAGGACAGCAGTAGCCTTATAATAAAGTTGCAGTTACCAAGGTGACTTGGAGTGGAAAAGTCTTTTTGAAATGGCATCGAAAACGAATCTCAGACGACACGATGGCCAACTTAAAAGTGGGATGGGATACTCCTTTTTCTCGCAGAGCCATTTGTCAGTGGAATTCTTTACCGATGTGTGTCGTGAATTCCCCCGCCGTGTGTTTAGGCGGAGTCTAGATACTCACTCGTTAGAAGTCAGCCTGAGGTCAGCGAAGCCTATCTACGATCAACATGCTACTATTTCCTTTTAAGTAACCCTTTTTGTTCGAATAACCCTCGGCACCGCAGAACATTTCACGTACAAATGTTATGAATGGGTTATTCTCTGTTGGTCACCAAATTCACCATATTTTCAACATCTCCGTTTCACGAACAGCGTAATGCATTTCACATGCTAAAATTACCTGTAAATATTTGCAACTTAATGGCCTTTTAAGCGGACCAGTATCGTTTACGTGGAGTTTCCAAAGGTTTCTGTCATTTACTTCAGATACACTGATTGAGTTGCGAAAATTCCCGTTGCAAAATTCAAAAGGCAAGTTG